GTCTCAAAAATGAAAGAAATAAAAATACTACTAAACTGTAGTTGTTCTGAGAAGTGCAGCAGCTGGTCAAAGCCAGTGAACACACTGAGCTCAGAGATGCTCAAATAAATCTTAACCCATTCTTGAAACAGGATTTGGGGCTCTTTCCCAACACTACAGTTTGTCACTGGAGAAACAAGTCCTTGAATAACAACATGACGTGTATCGAAATTGAGTTCTAGGAAATTTCTCCACAGGCAGTTCTCAAACTAATTAATTCTTACCAACATGCGCCGGGGGAACTGTCTGAGAAGAAATTATGGCATTGTAATAATGAGTGGAGCCTTGGTTACAGGTGTGAGCCACTGCACCCAGCCTCTATTTACCTTATTCCATCTCCCTGTGTTTAAAAATGTTCAATTTTGTGGATTTTAAGCTTGTAGCTTAGAAAATACGAGTATCAGTTTTATAAATTGATAAACTGAGCTGGTGCAGGCACTGTGGAAATTCGGTCAACGACACGTATCAATATCTATTGATTAATCAATAATCTATTGTTGATCAATCAATCTATTGTTGATACGTGTCTTGGATGAGGAGGAGAAGAAAGGATGATAAATGTGATTGCAGTTAAGCAAGAGGAATGAAAACAAGGTTGTTTTGGCAGCTGCCCCCGTACACCCAGGTGCGTCCGCATCTGAGACCTTGCTTGTCAGCTTTGCATAAAATCACTAGGTACCTCGGGCTGCCGGGCAGTGGCCTTGTCACTACTTCTGGCTCTGAACTGCCCTCCCCACCTCAGGATCCTCAAGTCTTGCTACTCAATGCATGGTTTGCAGAAAAGAAATGTTGACACTCTTTGAGAACTTGTTAGAAATGCACAATCTTGAATTCCATCCAGACCAAAAGAATCAGAATGTGCATGTCAGCAACCCTCAGGTGGTTCATACATGCCTTGGAGTTGAGAATTATTGCCCTAAAACAGTGGTGCTCAAACTTTGGTATGTGCTATGATCTGAACATTGGCTTTCCCACGAAAGTCATATATTGAAATCTCATGCCCAGTGTGGCAGCATTATGAGATGTGGCTTTGGGGAAATGATTAGGTCATGCTGGCTCCACTCTCATAAATGGGATTCCTGCCCTTATAAAAGAGGCCTGAGGGAGCTTGTTTGCTTCTTCCATCATGTGAGGACACAGAGGAAGTGCCGTTTATGAGGAACAGGCACTCACCAACCATCAATCTGCTGGCCCTTTGAGCTTGGACTTCCCAGCCTCCAGAATATGAGCAATAAATTCCCGTTGCTCATGAATTACTCAAAGATACTTTGTTATACCAGCCAGAACACACAAGGCAGTGTGCTGAAGAATTACCTGAAGGGCTTTTAAAAGTAGATGTTGGGCTGGGTGTGGTGGTGCACACCTGTAATCCCAGCACTTTTCGAGGCGAGGCGGGTGGATCACCTGAGGTCAGGAGTTCAAAGCCAACCTGGCCAACATGGTGCAACTCTGTTTCTACTAAAACTACAACACTTAGCCAGGCACGGTGGTGGGAGCCTATAATCCCAGCTACTAGGGCAACTGAGGCAGGAGAATTGCCTGAACCTGGGAGATGGAGGTTCTGGTGAGCTGAGATTGCACCATGCACTCCAGCCTGGGTGACAGAGTGAGACCCTGTCTCAAAACAGCCACAACCACAACAAAACAAGATGGTGCAGTTTCTGGTTGATTCGGTTCCGGGTTGGCCCGAAGAATCTGTATCTATAACACATTTCCAAGTGTGCTGAACTGGGATCACCTGTTGAGATTCATGTTCCTATTGCAAACAGTGTTTTGGGACCCTCTTCACCCCATTCCCTGGTCTCTACCCATTTCCACACAGATAACTGAGCTCTAACACTGGATAGGAAGTTGGCAGCAAAGACAAGGATTTCTGAGAAGGGGCGTTCATTCCACAGTACTATTTAAATTTTCTTAATGCACAGGCTATCAGTGGATTAAAAGTTTGTTGAGTGCTTACTGAATGGTGTTGGTACTAATGTGATAGATGGTATAGAGGAAAGGATGGGAAGCCGCTCTTTCTGACAATATATCGTCGTGTGCGTATGAGGAAGTTCTTCCTGATTCTCAGTATTTGAATATTAGGAGATAGTTGTGTTTGGCTCTCTCCTTCCCTCTGCATATAAGGAGGCAAGCTACATGGGGCTCACAGGAATGAGAACAGTCTATTTAGGAAGAGGAACAGATGTTTCATAAGACATAAAAGTGGGATTAATTACCACAGCAACTTATGCAGAGAATGTGGTCTCTAAAGTGATCCTCAGTAGATTCCAAGTATCCTTCCCTCCTTATTCTTCTTCCTTTTTTGTTTTTAAAGGCCGTCTTAGACCCAGACTTCCTTTATCATCATCTAGGTAAACCTGTCCATTTGTGGTTTTAACTGTATTCCTACTTGCCTCCTTGAAGTCTAAATCCACCAGTAATCCCCGTTTCTGTCTCCAGTCTCTTCCTGTCATTCTCTCTCTCTCACCTTCCTGAGACATATTTTTATACATTGCATTGAAAATACCTTCTTAATCAGCTGCCTTCAAGAGGCCGAGACTTTCTTGAATTGAGGACTACATCATAGTCATCCTTTAATTCGGATTTCCAGGTAAAGTCGTAGAGCAAGCCCTCCATAAATATTTATTAAGGAAATGAACGAAGTTAAAATCTGTCTACACTAGCTCTTCCCTCTTTCTTACTTCTTAATGAATCAATTCATTGTAATGTTTTCGTTACGACTACTCCAGTGAAACCCCTTTGAATTGAACACAGTGATCAATGACCTCTGTTTTTACCGAATTAATAGACTTTATTCATTAAGACTTTTGGTGTCAAATGGCAGAAATCCTAAACTAGCATAAGCAAAAAGGAGAACTTACTAGCTCCTATTAACAGAATCCAAGGAGAATTCAAGTAACTGAACTTTGGAAAGGACAAGAATATAGTTCATTCTTGGTGACAGCTGAAACCTGGAACTCTAGTGATGTCAAGGGCTTTCTAGTATATCTGCTTCCTTCCACCAGTCGGCTTTACTCTGCCTCTCATATTACCTTTATTCTGTGCTCTCTTCAGAATAGCTGTCTTAACATGAAAAACTCTCAAGCTTTATACCTTGGCTTAAGCCAAGAGACAGAATGTTTCCTGATCCTTTTATTTGCTCTCAAATCCACAATCCTTGAAAGTCCATCATAAGCCTAGCTTATATCAACTGTGCAACATAGAACAATCACTTCTGGTCAGGTCAGTGCATTTGCGTAAGATCTTGGTAGGTGCCGAAGTATCTAAGAAGATGTGGGTGGGTGGGGTAGGTGGGAGAAAATAGGGGCTCCCAGAAGGGCAGCAGAATTGCTGAGCAGGCCATCCAAGTTCATTTTGCACCCGTCTTACCAAGACTTTATCTTACCAAGGATTTTATATGGTTGACAATTACTCACATGTATATCTCTCATTTCTTGGCTGCTATTAAATTATTGCTTCCCAGCTGTCTTCTGACTTCTTACCATGCTGTGATTACAGGCATGAGCCACTGTCCCCAGCCTGGTTTCAAATATCTTTTTATATATCAGTTGGCCATTCAGATTTTGTTCTTTTTTGAAGTGCCTATTTTGCTAATTTTTCTATTTAGTTGCTTTTTTTCTCACTGTTTTATTGTAATTTTTATATTTTGAATAATAATCCTTTGACAAGCCTATGTGCTGCAGATATACACTCCAATTTGGCTTCATGGTTTCACATTCGATGGTGTTTTAAGGTAGGCAGAAGTTAATTGTTTTAATACAGCTAGGTTTCTTTTTATAGTTTGTGTTTTTGCATCATAAAAAACTATTTTCTTCAGGTTCAAAAATGCATTATACCATTTTTTCTTCAAAATTTTATAGCTTTGCTTTTCACATTTAAGTCTAAAATATTTAGAATTCAGGGATCCAATTTCATTTTCTTCCAAATGGACCATCAATTTTTTTCTCTTCCTCACTGAGGAGCAAAGTTCTGTTGTATACTAAGTTTCCTTATATCCATGAGCTTATTTCTGGATTCCCTCTTCTGTTCTAATGGTTTATCAATGGCTGTCTTAATATCATGTCTTCAGCACGATAACTTTATAATAAGTTTTGTTATCCAATAATGTAAATTTTCTCCTGTGTTTGTTTTTAAATGTCTCTAAGCAAGTATTGAACTTTGCTGTTATATTAGACAGAGTTGTAGCATTGTATGAAACCTCTACTGGTGTATTTATTTAATTTAAAAATGTTGAGGGTAGACAGGATCTCTAGCCCAGGCTGGAGAATAGTGACACAATCATACCTCACTGCAGTCTCAAACTCCTGGGTTCACGCTCCTGCCTCAGCCTCCCAAAGTGCTGGGATTACAGGCGTGAGCCACTGTACTTGGCCTCTACTCATATTTTCAATACAATTGCTAACTGGCACCTTTATAATATGTAGCCTTTCAAATATATCCACTTCCTTTAATCCCTACTCCCATTTCCTCAGTTCACACCATTATCGTTAATCTATTCCATTACAAAATTCTTCCTGGTATCCTGGTGTCCTGCAGCATTCCAATCTATTCTTTACATTGTAGCCAGAAAAGCGTCGCTAAAATGTAACTCAGGTCGCCCTCCACTTACCTATCGGAGGCACCACTTCCCCTGCCTCCAGGACTGTGGCTAAACTGCTCAGCTTTGTTCATCTTTATGAACCAGCTTTTGTTCTGGCCGCCTTTTTCCAGCCTACATCGTCTTGCATTCCTCTGTGCTCCTGTCACTCTGGGTTCATTTTTGGTTCCTTAGATCAACAGAAAGGTTTTTCACATAGGAAAATGGCAACTTGAAAAATTTGCTCTCCCAAAAATGCAAAAGAGATTTCAGCCACAAATTCATTTGCATTTAATCCTAAAATAAAGCACCATATTCTTTCAGTATAAACTCTTAAGAGTCATGCAATCCATAACAACTTCAGGCTTTTCCCTTTTCATATTTTTAATAAGCCCAAGATTTGATTATCAAAACAACTTTAACTCTTTCAATCATAATAACAAATTGATCGTAAATTCAATTTAACACATCAGAATACCAAGCACACAGTATGGTCTTTAAATCAGTAAAGAAATGTCTTATTCTTTACCATACTCATTTCTAATTGTATAATGTTTGGAACTTTCACAATCTTTCTATCTTGATAAACACAGGCAAAGACATTCTGGAAGCTATTCAGGAGAGATTCACTCCAGAAAGTACATGGTCATATCAGAGAAGGGGACACTTTTCTAACAGGGATCCTTTCAGAACCTGACTTAAGATTCTTTTGTCTCTGAAGTATCTAAGCAGCCTGCCAAACCAGAAGAGCTAAACTCCAAAAGCCCAGAGTTTGACTGCACCACTGATACCACTCAAGTAATCGTTACGCTCCTCTCTCTGCCATAAAAGCCCCACCGTGGGTCTCCCCCTCACTTTGGTTCTTTCTCCAGCTTCTCACCACCGGAGTTGAAGGAGAAGTGGTCTTACACCCAGATGGCTGGGGCAATATAGAGGAATCTGGGTATAAAGTTGCACAGGCCATCAGGCCCCTCAGCTGCAATTTCCTCTTGTGTCCTGCTTCCCCTTACCAGGGCTAAAGACCTCAAACACACACACACACACACACACACACACACACACGCAGACACACACACACACACACACACACGAGGCTTAAATTGGTAATTAGCCCTCTAAGCCCCAGAATTTAAGCTTTCTCATTCTTTCATGGGGAGCATGTGAGAATTCTCCAAGATATTTGTGGGGCCTTACCCACAAACATAGGGATAGATCACCTAACTTACTTCACCTCCTTCAGTTTCAATAGCTACAAATGCCCACAGGCTTTGTTGGAGAGTTCTCCAGGCTGGAGGACAGTTTTCCTGAATGCGACACTAGCTGAGAGGTCAGATTTAATTGCATTCCTTGGTGTCACCTGATCCACAGGAAACCTGCATATCTTTGCCACCCCAAGTTGTGAGGATACAGACTGAACTACTGCAAATCTAATTACCTCTCTTCCCAACCCCACTGTCCCTTTTATTTTCCTGATCAAGTAGGCAGAAAGCAGATGAACAAGCTTGCTGCCTAAATTAACACCCAATCTGGAAATACAAGTCTCCTTCCTGAAGGCATCATCAATCACTGCCAGTGATTCTCTTGGCAGAAAGTACCATGTTGAGAGCTAGTTCTACCACTTCTTAGTCATCCTTCCAGTTATGTCTGGATGCGGAGCATGGGGTCAGTGAGTGGTGGCGTCTTCTGATTCTAGTCGTCGTCAGATTTCTTTAGAAAGTGAAGTACTTAGCGTCTCTTGACCCATCTTTGAATCCTCCCTGGTTGCTGTTCTTTGAGTAATAGGAAAAGACCAGAACAACCTCCTGTTACACATAAATACAATTTTTTAAAACCAGCACATATATACATGATAGATGGAAATAAGTATACTATGGAAATAAGATAGTCGTAAGTATACACAAGTAAATATACCTTTGCAGTATATTCATTTACCACATGTGTATAGACATGTGAACTTGCTGCAAAACAAGCAGAAAATAGAGAAAAATCAGGTTATCTACAGAATCACTAATCATCAAATTCGTGTTAAGAATAAGCAATAAGATTTCATGATCTCAATGAACAATCTCAATTATGCTGTGCTCTAAAAAAATGTACAGTCAGATAGTGAAACAGGGAGGGAAGGAAGGAAAGACATATACTCCTATGTCTTTAAAAAAGGTAAAGCAATTTAGCCTCCTGGGACTGAATCATTTGCAGAAAAAATAAAAACAGGCAGGCGCCTACTTCAAGTATATGAGAAGGCTTCATACCAATCCCAAACATCCAATACTTAAATATTTCTTGAGAGAAAGTAAAGAAATTTAGTTCTTTGAAAATGTACTTTTAATTCCCTCTTTATTTCTTCCAGACTACATTGTTTTTATAGAAATAAATATAAAATCATCACATTGCCTTTTAAAAGTGAGAAACAAAATATTCAATCAATAAAACAAACGGTAAAACATTTTAAAATCCCTTAGTTCCAAAATACGGTCAGATGGGAAAGAGGGCATAAAATTTGTTGGTGGGAGAAATCAAACCACTATCTTCTAAATCTATCCACCATCACAAGGTTTTGAAAAGCTGTAAGATTTTATTAAACACACAAACATAATCCAACTAAGATTCCAGGACTAAATATGAACCTTTCCTCTACTTTCAGAGGTTTAGAGGATACTTGAAACTTTCTTTACCAAAAGGTTAAATTCTTAGTAACATTTTGAGTCACTAAATATTCTTCCATTCCTTAAGTTTCACTGTTATATTTATTTGAAAAGAAGCACTTACTCTAAGTTGTCACCCTGTCTTGGAAAAGATGTTTTCTTCAAGGATTCTGTAATGTTTTTATGCTAAAGAACCTGTCTTACGTGAATAGTCTGCTTTTGATCATTCTAAACGAGTTCACAGACACAAGAACAGATATTTGTGACATTTCTGAATTGCCTCCAAACAAAACAGAGGCTGTTAAATCTAACTGAGGTGCCAATAATTCCTGACTTTGTCCTAGAGCACCTTAAAGGCAATCAACTGTAGTAAAATCTAGAAACCTCCTAACATGTACTTGTCAGTATGGTCTAATCCCCTTCCTTATGAAATCAGAATTTATCAATATGAATTCAAGGCCATAATACCATTACAAAATAAGTGTTTACTCCTATTCCACTCATACTTTGTCTAAACATGCACCTACAAAACAAACATCAGTTTCCAACCTAACCACTCTGGATCAGCTTAACAAACTTAATATCCAACAAACCTGTCCTCTGCATTTGAATTCTAAGCCTACCTCATGAGTTCACTTCCCTTCACCGACCTAGTCTATTTCAAGGAAAACATCCCCCATCCTGAAGCTGTCCTACAATCTTCACATGCTAATGAAATACAGTAAGACACAAATTATAAGACCAAATGTTTTAATATTAGAATCAACATATTTAAAATTATATTTTAATCAATATGACAAATATAACAGGAAAAACTGTAGACATTCTTAACTGAAAATGTACATATAGGCAATTTATACAGAAAATTGCTATTTCACTCATAACTTTTCATACTTACAAAATTGTAACTAAACAAAGTTTAAAGTGAAACAGCAAATTCCTCACACTGAATGCCTATATGCATACACTGAACAAACACCTTACATATAAATATTTAAAGTTTTCAATGTGATAAGTGAGCCTGCTTCTTGCTCGTTAATTTGTCTAATCTAGGTTGGATTGATGACAATGCTACTCTCAAGGGATAATGTATATTTAAACTGTTTCTGTGTTTTGTTTTAATAACACTTAAAGTAGAGAATCCAGTCTCACAGAGGTATGTTGAGGGGAAAAGAAGAAGCAACTTTAAAGCAATCTCAGCAAGCTCAGGATATTCATTTTTAACTTTGATCCAAAACGAAGGGAGTGATGCTGTATTTTCAAAACTGATTTTCAATCCTTCATCAGTAGCCAGCTTCAACAACTTATCCTGTAGAGTTAAATTTAAATTTAAATTACCTTTTGATGAAAGAAATGGATTTTGGATCCACAAATTTCCTATGCGTGGATCTTCTTTTGAAGGAAAATAAAATTCAAAACATTCTAACAAATTTGTAAGATGTTCACTGATAACTTTTTGTAGACGTGCAATATCAAGATCATTACCTACTTCATTGATAATTGTTGTTAAATTATGGAACATGTCATAACAATCTGTAGAAATTCTGTTTTTCCAAGCTTCTAACTTTTGTTTTTGTCCTTCAACTTTATCTGCCATTGAAAAATAAGTTGCATTCTTCCCTTGCATAGAAGCATTAAGATCATTAAAAATACTGAAGATATCAGACAAATAAGCAAGTCTGGCTGTCCAATTCACATCTTTAAAAAGTTGGGACCAAACAGGTTTCTTGCCTTGCAGAAACACTAAGAGTTCATTTCGTATTTCAAACATTCTTGACAGAACTTTTCCCCGTGATAACCACCGTATCTCAGCATGCAATAACAGCTGCTTATGATCAGCTTCCATATTATCACATAATAAAGAGAATAATCTCGAATTCAAAGCATTAGATTTTATATAATTCACAATTTTTACTATGTCATTAAGCACACTATGTAGTTCAGCGGATACCTTTTTCATAGCAAGACTTTCTCGATGAATGAAGCAATGTGTTGTTTTACATTCTGGCGCAAGTTCCTTAATCTGGGTTACCACTTCAGAATGTTTTCCTGTCATTGCAGCTGCACCATCAGAACATACTCCTACACAAAATTTAAATTCCAAACCACATTTGTTAACAATATAATTCTTTACAGCTTCGTATAGTTCTGAGCTAGTTGTGTTTGTAGGCAAAGAGGCTGAAAAAAAGAACTCTTCCTTTATATCATCATCATGTTCAAACCTCACATAAACTAAAAGAATTATCATGTTAGCAATATCTCTGCATTCATCAAGCTGCAATGAAAAATACTTTGCTAGTTTTATTTGTTCGATGAGTTGATCTTCCATATCATTAGCCAGTTCCTGAATACGTCGAGCTATGGTGTCATTGGAAAGTGGTACCTGAGCTACCTTCTTTGCTGCAGATTCACCCAACATTTCCAAGCACACTTCTTTGATGCAGTCTTTCACTAGGGTCTCAGCAATGGTGTATGGCGTTTTAGACTTAGCGACCGGAAGTGCTACTTTATATGAAGCCCGCAAAGCGCTAATGTTTATATGAGAAACGTTGAACACCTGCTTCGGTTGACTTTTCAATTCACTACTCTTTCTTTCAAAGAACTCTTTTGGTTGTGAACTTATTTCTTTATGTTTTGAATATAAGTGTCGCTTAAGCTTTGATGGTTTCATTGCTTCATTAGCCAGTACATCTCCACAAATAATACACTGTGGTTTTAGTACTTCACCGTCAATTACAGCTACAAAACCAAACTCAATATATGAAGGATCATATTTCCGAGTGAAACTAGCATGAACTCTTTTGGTTTTCCCTTCTTCAGCATGACTCCTATTGTTACCATTTCTTTTATTACTACCACTGTGTTCAGAAAAGGCATGTCTCTTCTTGACAAAAAAGTCCAGTGAAGCTTGTTTCGCCATCTGAAAATTAGGATTAAAAGTAAATAAATTATACAAATTTTACTTTTCTGCTTTAGCTAACAATGTTAAACCACAAATTTAAAACTAGACTTATTTAAAATAAAAAATTATTTTAAAATTAATTTATAAAAACAAAGAAATGCCTATATTTTTTCAGAATTTTATATCTCTTTGGGTTATGGCTGATAAACTAAGCATAAAGTGTCACATGTTGTAATGGGGACTTATTGTGTTTGACTAGTGTGTAACCCCCACCACATGTGACTCACCTGGAGAGTTTAACAGCAGCTAGATTGGTCTATATTCTATTCAGTAAGATGAGTTCATTAATCATGTGCAGCAATCTCAATTGTTATAATGTTTCTAAATACTTAAGCTCAACTTTTGTACTTAATGTGGACTGGAGCTTTTATACCAGCACTGGTCTGCCAGTCACAGGTTGAGCACCACTAGTCTAAGTCATGTGTAACCTCCATATTTCAAAACATTAACCCTACCTCATAAAGCCTGCTGATTTTAAATCTTTTTGGTTCTATTTCATGTTCTCCATTTAAATTCCCAAACTGAAGTATTTCCCAACACAAACCCCTGTCTTCCAAGCAAATTTATGATTCCCTACCCCCACAAATACTTCTTCACTTGATTTGAAATGTCCTTTCTTAGCTTACCCTCCACCCAAACTCCTGTGATTGAAACAGAGAAACAATAAATTCATGTGTTACCAAATGCATTCTTCTGTAGAAACGTACCATCATACACACTATTTACTCCCTCAATCTTAGCTTTCTCATTCCCTCAAGAAATGCCTGACATCAGAAGGGAGTAAAAGTGATACCATTCATCACCCCCAGAATAATATAAAAGGCAGCATTCACGGTTACAACTTTACAACTTCCAACCTGGAAAAAAAGAGGGGAGGAAGCAGTAAAAGTAATTAGGCCTTCTTTGGGGGAAATATATCCAAGGTAATGAAAGTGTGCCTTCATATACCTTGTCAAACAATGCTTAGTCACAGTAGAGTGTAATGGGACTCTTCCCTGCTTTCATCTATGGCAGATATTCAATCTTACCCAATCTCCTACTTTGTCTGGTGAAAATGGTGTCCCTGATGGCTTTAGCATTTTGGAAGGTTGAACAGGCAAACTTCTCTGAATCTCATCATGTTTCCTTTTCATTGTGCTGGTTTCATAGCAAAGGCTACAAGTTATTTGCCGACCACAGCCCTCAGTCCCATGTTGAGAGGGCACTCCACAAATTGCATGGATATTTCCATCACATGATATACAACTATTAGGACCTGTGCATTCTTTTTCACAAACTACACAGGATAAAAATCTTAGTCTGCTCTCCGGAGGGTTTTTTTCAGCCACCTTAGGGGTGACGGGAAGATTCTCTTCAATATCACTACTATCTGTTCCAGTCTCAATGTTTTCTTCATACTGGGCTCTTAAAGTATTTTCTAACTCTTTGTCAGCCTGATCTAACTCATTTTCTGTATGCAGGCTGGCAACAAGTTCTTCAGTTAACTGAGAATGGGGCAAGCCCAGTTTAGCTTCAGAGCTAAATGCACTTTCACAGGCAGTCTGTTGCATGCTTCTGTGATAGGGTTGATTTTGGGTCATCTGAATGAACCACAAAAATTCAGCCCAATGTGATGAGTTGTTAGTTTGCATCCAGGAGAAAATCCTCTTTCGGATATCCTCATTAGTTTGTTCTGCAGAACTCTGACTTTGGCAGGTCTGAGACTTCCCATGGACGATTTTCAATTCTGGCCAAATATTACCGAGTTCACTGACAACCTGGCTGGAAAATTCCCTCCCATTGTCAGACTGTAGGACACTGGGTGCTCCAGTAATTGTAAATATATCTAAAAGCGCGTGTGCAACTTCCACTGGTCTTTTAGACTTTAGCGACCGCAAAAAACTTAACTTTGTGCGAAGATCTTGATAATGCATAATAAATTTATATTCCCCATCAGGATTCAACTGCATGTCTATAAGATCTACTTGGCATCTTGAACTAACTTCCTTAATTGGTTTTGATGCTAGAACTTTCTTGAGTTTTGAATTTTTCTGTTGGCATGGTTTACAGAGGGTCAGGTATAACATTATAACTTCTTTTGTGATATTCTTGTATTTCGCTTGTAACTCTTTCTCCATGCGTGTACGTCCACCATGTCCAATGCTGAGATGGGTGTCGTGCAGAATGTCAAATAAGTCCTCACTGTGTAAGTAATACCGTATTTTATCTGCTTCCCCATTGACAGCCTCAATTAGCTTCTCATTTCCTTGTACAAGGATAACATCAAATCTAGCCAAGCGACGGTAGTCAACGGATTCCTTCTTCGCCTTAGCTTTAGCTTCTTTCACTTCCTTTATCAGCTGACAGTATTTCGCCTTAGAAAAGATCTTAGTGTTATTACTTTTGTTTTCCAGTAACACTGCTAAGCTTCTGAAGAACTTTTCTCTCATGTTTTCTAGTTCAATTTCTGCATCATTAGTATCTAAGCTACTGAGATGATCATCACCCATGCTTTGAGACATCATGGAAAGCCACAAAAATGACCCTGAAACAAAGGGAGAAATCAATTAGAATATTTGGAAATATATTTAAAATACATATACTTCCAAAGGAGCCAGTAGTGCTTGAGGCATAAATAGGGGATATGGACACACGGAAGAGGGATACCATTTTTTTTTTTGAGACGGAGTCTCACTCTGCCACCCAGGCTATAGTGCAGTGGCATAATCTCAAGTCACTGTAACCTCTGCCTCCCAGGTTCAAGCAATTGTCCTGTCTCAGCCTCCCGAATAGCTGGGACTAACGGCGTGCACCATGACACTTGACTAATGTTTGTATTTTTAGTAGAGATGGGGTTTCACCATGTTGGCCAGACTGGTCTTGAACTCCTGGCCTGAAGCAATCTGCCTGCTCGCCTTGTTCTACCAACGTGCTGGGATTACAGGTGTGAGTCACTGCAGCAGGCCAGGGAATACCATTCTGATTAAAGACTCCAAGCTAGGTGGACAAACAGCATAAATGAAGGACTGCAGCCAGTAACAACAAGTTTCACACAATAAAGAGTAGGAAGTCAGGACAGGACTTTCCAGAGCAGCTTTCAGGACTGAAGCACGTTTCACATAAAACAGGATGCAAATTAACATTTATTTGTTTGTTTACTATGCAAACACTTCTTTTTTTGGAGGAACCTCAGCAAGACAATAAGAGATTTTTTTTTAATCTCCACACTACGTTTTCTCTTTTATTCCGTCAGATTAGCTATTACATCAACATTTGAGGAGTAAATTCCAACTTAATACATTCACATCAGCTCCCTTTCAGGGCTATTAACTACAAACCCAATACAAATATCTTCATTACTAATTTTTTTTTGAGACGGAGTTTCACTCTTGTTACCCAGGCTGGAGTGCAATGGCGTGATCGCGGCTCACCGCAACCTCCGCCTCCTGGGTTCAGGCAATTCTCCTACCTCAGCCTCGCGCCACCATGCCCAGCTAATTTTTGCACTTTTAGTAGAGACGGGGTTTCATCATGTTGACCAGGATGGTCTCGATCTCTTGACCTTGTGATCCACCTGCCTCGGCCTCCCAAAGTGCTGGGATTACAGGCGTGAGCCACCGCGCCCGGCCATTACTAATTTTAATAAGAATAGTGGATAAGTCTACATTAGTAAAAAATTTCTGACTTAATAAAGCTTATTAAAAATTTCTAGAACATTCATAATAACAGAAACACTAAGAATACTTAAAATTTGGCTGTTAAGAAAAAACTATTTTGGAAAAAATAAAAAAGAATAATTCGGAATTAGCATAATATCTCTAGATAGTTTTATAGTTCCTTGGAAAAATACTTGTGCTCAAGTCGACGTCATTGATACTATCAATTTGAATACCAAATCGTCAGACAGAGCAGGGACTTCCCTTATGGGCCTGTCAGCCACCCTCCAACCACCAAGCATAGTAATAACAGGATATCCTGAGTTCCTTCAAGGGAATCCAGGCATCTAACTATCTCCAAGAAGTAAATGAGCAACTTGATAAACAAGAAGATAATGCCTTAAAACAAGAGCCAAAATAGTCATGAGATGTTCCCTGTATCAACTAAAGATAACATCTTAACGTATATCCCTAAGCTGCTCTTCAGAAACCCATACCTCCACCAAATGGACCCACTGGTCTGAAGACCTCAGATAAGGGGGAACTGAGGACTAAAGTACAACAGCTGTTCTTTGTTCTCAAGTTCTCCCTGGGGGACCTGGAAGAAGTTACACCCACAGGCCAGAGCTAACCTTCTTTTCCGCTGATCCCAAATTTTTAGACAAAGCTTTGCGTCCTTAACCAATTGCAAGTTAGAAAGTCTTTTTATCTACCTATGACCTGTAAAGTCCCTTCTTTGAGATGTCTGTCCTACCTTTTTAGGTCAAACAGATGTACAGGGTCCACGAATTGATTTATGACTTTGCTCGTAACCTCTGCCTCCGTGTGTGTGTGTGTGTGTGTGTGTGTTTCTGAGACAGAGTCTCGCTCTGTTGCCAGGCTGGAGTACAGTGGCACGATCTTGGCTCACTGTAACCTTTGCCTCCCAGGTTCAAGTGATGCTCCTATCTCAGTGTCCTGAGTAGCTGGGACTACAGGCATGCGCCACCATGCCAGCTAATTTTTGTATTTTTAATAGAGACAGGGTTTCACCATGTTGGCCAGGATGGCCTCCGTCTCTTGACCTAGTGATCCACCCACCTTGGCCCTCCCTGCTTTTGAAAAACCCTTACTTGCAAACCATCAGGGACACTGGGTCTTAATTGTGAGGGGCCAATTCTCCTTGCTTGACACTCTGCAAAAATGCCCTCCTTTCTCCTGCTGATGTTAATGTCTGGCTTTCCTGTGCCGGGCAGGTGAACCCCAGTTTGGTTCTGCAGCAGTAATGAACTAGGAAATTTAAACCATCTCACTTCATTACAAAGTTAGGAAGTGCCTGTGGGTAAATCAGATAACGCCATGACAAATCTGGTGTTCAAGTATTTTTGACATTATTACCTACTTGTTTTAATTCAACTCCCTTAATAACATTACATTATACTGGTTGACTTTTCATTCAACTATTAATACATTCACTAGAAGTGAAATGAGGTTTGATAACTTTCAGTATTATATCCTTCCTTCTCCCAAGTCTCACCCTCTTTCTTAGAACTAAATTATTCTAACCATTATCTTGAAGTGGGTATGGCTCTGGAGATTCACATTCCATTCTGTCTTCCACAGACTGAAGCTGGGTGCCTAAAGACGCCTTTGCAGAATCCAGAGCAGTCACTTCTTCCATAGGAACTTCCTGCCCATATGTGCCCTGTGAGACCTGGGGACAAATAGGTACATTTGGTAAACAGTATAAATAATTCTAGTTTGTCATAAACTTGTATTCTTCCATTAAAATAGAATATAAGAAGAAAAAAAAAACAGTCTTTACTGAATTCTTAAGAGAAGTACAAGATAACATAAGAAATGAAAAATGCTGGTTCTAATAAAACCACAGCTTGGAAGGGGGTGAGGGAGAAACAAAAGCCTTATCTGTACAACAGAAACTGACATCTCTATATTCTCTATAGGACAGGAGTTAAAACACATCCCTTTGGTTTCTGTTTCTGGGAATAACAATGAAAACACGTTAAAGAAATGTCTCCTAAACTGTGATGACTGAAAAAAATTATAAATGAGTGTCAATGTGGTTAATTAAAAGTAAATATTGGGCCAGGCACAGTGGCTCACACCTGTAATCCCAGCACTTTGGGAGGCCAAGACCAGTGGATCACTTGAAGTCAGGTGTTCGAGACCAGCCTGGCCAACATGGTAAAACCCCCTCTCTACTAAAAATACAAAAATTATCAGGGCATTATGGTGGGCGCCTGTAATCCCAGCTACTAGGAGGCTGTGGCAGGAGAACTGCTTGAACCTGGGAGATGGAGGTTGCAGGGAGCTGAGAACACACCACTGAACTCAAGCCTGGGCAAGAGAGAGAGACTGTCTCAAAAATAATAAATAAATAAATATTGGGGTAAGGGAGGAGGGAATGCAAATTATCTAATAGAGATTAAGGAGCTGTTTAACCCCGGAAATAATCTGACAGTTGTTTCAGATCACTTGTAAAAGCATTAGCCCATCGTGTTCTGGATGGGAAAAAATCAACCAAGTTGCCTAACCATGCTGGGTGGAAAGAAATTGTCCTCTCCTCACACTAATCACCTAGCATATGGTTATAGTTACATTTCTCCAGTTATCCCCAAAATAGATTTTGTGGTTTTTGAAAAATCCATGATCCATTCAATGTTTCTATATTGTTTTTAGTTATATCTCCTTTGCCTTTCTTAATCTAGTGTCTTGTCTTTTCTGAATCCAACCCCCTTTGCAAGAGCAACACAGCTTGCTTTGATTTTGCGGAACTCTTCTGAAGGCTCAAAGGCTTTGGAATCGTGAATTAAATCAGGGAGAATTTTATATCACACCGCGTGCAAACAGGCTTGTGAAATCATTCCAGGCCTCTGCAATAATATCAATCATAAGTTTAATGTAAAATTGCTTACCGAATTCAAAAACTGTTCGGGCACTCTCACCCCCTGTATAGGCAATCAACATCTTGAATGTTTGCCTTAAACAATAAGCTTTAAAGATTGCAATCACACCCTGATCAAGGGCTGCAGTAAAGAAGTTGTACTGGGAGGTAAAAAGAGAACTGTGATATCTGAAGTAAGTTCTGTGACTACTGGAGGGTAGCTTGGTGTGTCATTAAGAAGTATACGAATTTTAAGGCCGGGCGCGGTGGCTCACGCCTCTAATCCCAGCACTTTGGGAGGCCGAGGCGGATGGATCACAACGAGGTCAAGAGATCAAGATCATCCTGGTCAACAAGGTGAAACCCCATCTCTACTAAAAATACAAAAAAATTAGCAGGGCATGGTGGTGTGTGCCTGTGATCCCAGCTACTTGGGAGGCTGAGGCAGGAGAATTGCTTGAACCCAGGAGGCGGAGGTTGCGGTGAGCTGAGATCGTGGCATTGCACTCCAGCCTGGGTAACAAGAACGAGACTCCGTCTCAAAAAAAAAAAAAAAAAGAATTTTAAAAGACAATTTTTTTAACTTCCAATTTTTTTGATCTACAAAAAAATGTCATCCAGTCTCTCTCACTAGACCTAAGTAGACACCATAGCTAGTCTTTATAATTCATTGTAAAGCTTATAGATTGGCAACATGATAAATCAGAAGCTTTAGCTTTAAACCTCCACTGGAATTTGCACCCAGCATCACCATCAGTTGATCCTTTGTAGCCTTAAACCCCGCAGTGTGTTTCTAGAGTACTTCCAGTCCCACTTACTCCATTCTGGATCCACACACCCAAATTCTCCACAGATGCCCCTGAGGGCGTCTGCTTCCAACAGAGACTGGTTTCATAAAAACTGAAAATCTGAGCCAGGGGAAAACCTTCTTCATCAATCTAATTTCTCAGTGCTGGGGGAACGTCTTTGCAGCTTCTTCATCTGCACTTACATCCTCATCTGCACAGACAGTTTAACACTGTGGAAACTACAGCAGTTCTTGAAGCCACTAAACCAGCCACAATTTGCACTAAATGAAGGCACTTCTGCGAGATTTTCAGCTTTTTTTCTCAACGTCTTCATACATTGCAAAGGCATTCTCTTTAACTTGGGGAAAGACTGCACTGGATTGCTTCCTTGTTTGGTATTCAATCCACACACTTAACAAATGCTCCATTTCCTCCATTTCCCTGTGCCTTGTTCCAATAGATTTCCTAACACTGGCAGTTGTTCCAGCTTGATAACTTCTTTATTTTTCCCATCATTGTCTCTAATTGTACATAGTTTACTCCCCTATGCCGGTTGCACAACCAATCTCACGGGTTCTTTTCTTTAAAAACACTGTGTAGTTTGAAGCTTGTCTTCAACTGTTAGAGCTTTTCCTTTATACTCACTAGCAGAAACTGTATCACGAGCACACTTCTGTGGCACTTGCAAAACCCTCTGCTTGCTCCTTTTCTGGAACAAAAAAAATTTAGCAAAAAATGCACAAAGATGGGAGGGAATCATGTAAATAAATGCTTGTAGGACAGCCAGAGGAAGGATGTGGGGCAAATGGACATTATGTACAGTTTTGTATGTAAGCAGGACTTGCTGTGCTCAGCTAAATCAGATACTTGGATTCAGCTACTCCCTCTTGGTGGCCCCAAACATCAACTGGCTGGGAAAACTCATGCATGAGCCTACAAAATTTCAGCATTATCCCGATTCATTCCCAGCATACTGAACTCTTAATGAAAGATTTTGCATTCCAGAAACGTGTGTTTTTAACAGATCAGACTACGTAAAGTGTTCATATTCTGACAGTTCAGATAAATGTATAAATAGTATCACTAAAAAAAGTCTGTCAATACCCATAATGTTCTACAATTACTGTCAGAGAAGGCAAATATACTCCTTTAGAAATAACTCCATGTAATGGCTAAACGCTTTTAAAGTTCTTCTAAAAATAATTTTGAGCTCAAAACATTTCCATACCAACAACTCTAGATACTGAAAAGAACCGAGGAAATCATGTAAATCAGTCTGTCCCAGGGAATGTGTAATATGCCCAAGGTTACACAGCTAATCAGTGAGAGTCTAGATAGCTACGAAAGACAATAATTAAAAAAAAAAAAAAAGTATCTGCTGTATATTTCTTTAATCATAGTCACTAAATATGTTTTCTTTCGGTAAAAAAAATAGATCATTGTTTTGTTTGGTTAAATCATTTACTTATTTGGATCACACACAGATTGTTATGTCATAAGCATGAATCTATTCATCTACACCAGTGATCAAATAAGAAATAATGCCCCAAACCAGGGTTTCAACCAGCAGTGTGAAGTTACTCCCACTTACTCCATTCTGGATCCATGCACCCAAATTCTCCCCAGAAGGTGGCACGTCCAATTTCTCACCTGCTGTCTAGGTTCATCAAGCTCCCTCTCCAAATCTTCCAGCAAAGTCACCACTTCTTCTCCACTCTCAGGATTATGCTCCCGCACCCAAGACTGGAGCTCCTCGGGCAGGATGGTCAGGAACTGCTCCAGCACCAACAATTCCAGGATCTGCTCCTTGCTATGTATCTCTGGGCTCAGCCACTGACGGCAAAGTTCCCGCAGCTGACTCAGGGCCTCCCTGGGTCCAGGTGTCTCCTGATAGCAGAACTGCCTGAAGCGCTGACGGGACATTTCCCTGGTATAAGACAAATGCCTAGGCAGGCCTGATTCTTGATCCCAAGTATGGTCTTCTTCTTTAACCTTTACTCTGATAATCTCCGCTTGTTCTTCTGGAGCCTGGCCAGCCAAGGCTGGGAAGACCGTGGAGACTGCTTCCATCCCGCGCTTGGGGCAGCTCAGGGAATGGCTCTCTCCACTTGGGGTGTAGGCAAATGGGTGATTTTACTCGAGTTCCTTTTTTGTTCTTGGTCAGGAAAGTTTTTAATATAAGAAAACACTCAACACCTACCGACGCAGTTTAAAAGAACTTGTTTACGTGACAACACAGATACTCGGGCAATTCCATTGACAGTGAAGCCATACTCTGAAAAGACCAGAAAGTAGTGAGCACGGAACGACCCAGTAAAGCCTCAGGGTCACAAGTGGAGCGCCAGGATACCTGCGAGACCGAAAAGTGCGCTTAGCAAGGATACGCTGGCCCTAAACGGAGCCTCGGTTAATGATATATGAGCCCAGGCAAGGAAACGAAGCTCGGAGCAGCCTGGGCGAGGGCGGAGGCGGAGAGTGGCTCACAAGCTGCCAGAGGAGGAGGCCCGGTTGTCACCGCGCACACGCACCCGTCCCTCGGCCGCAGCTCCCGCCTCTGAGGAGCTCAGGCCCGCTGGAACCAGGACTAGTGGGTCCGAAGACACACTGTACAGCTCAGCTGGCGGTTCCGCAGACACACCCGCAGCTGCGTCCGCAGGTTCCGGCTGGGCCCGGTGAGCCACGCTCACTTCCGGTCCGCTCTAGGATTCCAGGTGGTGCGGTCTTCTCGCTGGTCGCGGTCACACCTACGGAACCAGTCGCCTTGGGGAGGCAGGTGCTCCGGAAACCGCGGGGAATTAACTCCGGAGTTACCCAGTCACCTGGCATCCCGGTGAAGAGTCTCACGGTGCGAGCGGCGCTGGGGTGGAGGCTGCTGGTTTGTGTTGCGGTCACCAAGCTAAACCACCGCTGGCGCTCAGACCCGCGGGACGCCCCGCAGCGCCGGAAACAAAACGGGGAGGAGCATCCCCCTGGAACACCGCGCCAGCCGGTCCGCAGGCTCCTCCCCGCCCGTCCTGGTTAACTTCGGGCCGCTTTCTCCTTACCTTTCACCCCAAGTCAGTCTTAGAAAGAAATGTAAGAATTAGTCCATTGTTTCCTTTTCACGTATTGGAAAACCAAGACCCACGGAGAATGAGCTTGGGTGGTTCAGTGCTCCGTGACTGAACAACTGTGGGAAACTGGCCCCAGACAACTAACAAAACCTGGACGGCTGATCAGAGCCTAGCGAGTCACTGCAGAGGGGAAACCGGAACCTTCCCTTCCTTCCGGCAGCCGCTGGATCCATCCCTACGCCTGGAGCGCAGATGCCCGAGGAACATTTGTGGCGTTGCTGCCTGGCTCCCCTTCTCCATTCTCCGTTTCCTTCTGCTTTGGTCCTCGTGGTGATTTCTCACATTTTGGCATTTCTGAGTAGAGAGGCTTTGAATAATCAGAACGTTTCTTTCAGAAATCTCTAAATTAAAAAAAAAAAAAATTCTTACGGTTGGGTTCTGTGAATGGTCTTGAGTAAATCGCTAAACCTGATGAAATTGTGTATAAAATTTTTGTCTGTGTGCCTGTGTCATCAAAACCTGAAAGGATCATTTTCCCAGCCACTATTAACGTGCTGCACTTACATTTTGTGTTTTCCCCCCAACTATCCTTTGCAGTCAGGGATTCTACCTCCTACCTTTTTCTCAGGCAGTGGTCTCTGCCATGCTGAGCCCAGTGGGCAGTTAACGTGGAGTAACCATGACTTCTAGGTCCTCTACTGACGAGCATTACTTTTTTTTTTTTTTGTAGATTTGCATTTTTAAAATTACTGCAACAGTGATAGACACATTAAAAAAGTCAAATATTTTAAAAGTCAACATGGCAAAAAGTGAAAAGTTTCTTCATCCTCAGTTCCATTCCTCAGAAAAATTCATGCCAACAGTTTGTTGTATGTACCTCCAACCTATTTTTAAATGCACATATAAAATTGAGTATAATTATATGCAAATATAGCTGAGTCACGATTATAACTCATTATAATTTGCAAAACTTAGATCATATTAGACTACAATTCAGCAAGTGACTGGAATTTTTTTGTTTGTTTCCAATTTAAACTAAATCCTCCCCCAGAAACTGCCAAGCCAACATGAGATGTGTGCCTCTCCCATTCTTTTTAGTGGCTGTAGATAGAGACTATTCTGATAGACGTTGTTGAAAGATATGCACCCCAGAGGGGTGTTTATCGTGAGATTCTCTAAAGTGTGTCAAGATCCTTTCCTTGCACTGTGCTTTCCAAGGCCTTGGGAAGACGTTGCTATGTATGAAATATATGTTGTAAAATTTGCAAAACTATGCTATTATAGTGAAAATTAGTTAAGACAGCTGCTTCTCCCTACTCCAGCTTATCCTCAGATACATCATACATCATAGAGTGCCCATAATTTTATGTTGATAACCACTATTCTTTTTCTTAAAGAGGACTTTCTAAATTATGAAGATCCTCACAAAATCTGGATCTGCCCCGTTGACTTCCGGAAGCGATTTATGCTCCTAACAAAAGTGCAGCACAGAGTGCACAAATCTCCCTGAATTTTATTTTGTCCATTACTCCTCTAGCAACAAAGCGTCAGCTTTCATGTCAGCCCAGTCTCACTGAAGCCTGACTTAACTCTTCCGGATTGGAGCAACTAGAACGTTTATTATCAAGGAGGTATTTAACCACGACTATAGATGTATATTCTGCTCTTACGGTTGGTCCCATGGTGTAATGGTTAGCACTCTGGACTTTGAATCCAGCAATCCGAGTTCGAATCTCGGTGGGACCTTTCAAAGGAGAACGTTTTACAGTTACTGGGTTGGCTTCTGAATGTGGGAAAAACTCGTTCCTCCACTTCCTGTCGAATTCCCTTTGAAAACACCTTTGTGGCCGCGAAACCCAGTATTGGACTCTCCTATCCAAACATAAGTACCGAACTCTTCCACTTAGAAGTGATTCAGCTTTCAAAGCGTATCAAATTCACGGATTTGGAGACAAAGAGAAAGACGCTGCTCCTACCGACTCAAGAAAAGCTCCAGCAGCAACGTGGAAACCCAATTCCTATAATGGAGACAAAAGCTTCCTCAAAGTTCCCTAGGTTCGAAGCCCTCCTCGCCGCCACAACTGAATCTTGCGCGTGCAGTTGGCCGAGCCTTGGTCTCGGGCGTGTTATTTCGCTGTGGACCTCGCGCGCCCGGGGTCACTTCTCGCCGCTTTTCCCATCCCATCCCCCAGCTCGTCGAGACAGTTCACCCTCGTCTGCTTTCTCAATTCCCTGGTCCTTGTTAGTCTCCCCACTCACCCCACCTGCAGCGTCTGGAAATCCCCCAAAGCCGGCAGCCCCGGACGGCTCGGGTCCTGGTATCCACGGGGTCCGGCTTTCCAGCCGGAGAGAAAACTCGCCTCCGACCGTACCCGGGCCTCGCTGCGCCGGGAGCTGGCAGTCCCAGTTCAGGACCACGCACAGGGAAGGGGCCCCACGACTCGTGTGGGAGATGGGGCAGAACGACCTCTAACCCTAACCCTTCAGCCCCTAGTCCCAGGGTGAAAGGGGGGGACTCCTTGACCGGGTCTTCTCAGACACTGCCAAACACTCCGTCCCAAGCACCCGGGAAACAGTCCCTTGGAGCTGAGGGTCAAAAACAGGAAATGTACCCGTTGTCTCGCCTGCCCCGACCTCTGTGTGTAGACCAGGATCGAACTGGAGATAGAGCTTTTGAAACCAGGAAGGTCCCGGAAGTTCCTACAGAGACTTGTTTGCCTGTTAGCGTGAGGTGGGAAATGTGGGCAAGGTGAGGGAAAGGTGCGCCATAGAGGACAGAAAGGACAGGAACTAACTTAGAAATAAGCATTTGTGTTTTGTAGAAATTAATTTCTTCTATGATGTAAGAGGCAACTTTCAAATCTGATGATTTATTTTCAGATTTCTTTCACATTTTGATTTTTTTCATACAGACCAAAAAACCAAGTCGAATCTTACTTTCACCGAGTCCATTAAACCATAAATAATTCATTAGCTCATGTTGTGAATTACCACTGGCTACACAGAGACTCTGTAGCTAAGTCTGCAAAACTTTATGAAAACATTATTTTGACTCCCACGATGTGTGCTTGGTGGTACTTCATATGCTCTGTAACGCTGCTAATTGTCGAAGGAAACAACATTTTCTTCTTGTGGTGTTGCCTTAGCTAGCGTGGCCCCGCCTTCTTTCCACTTTGTCGATGTGCATGTGATGAGACCTCACCCGAAGTGTTCTCCCTTTTCCTAATGGCCTCTGCCAGCCTCTTCTACCTGCGTGGGATGCTTATGACCCCAGCCATTCTTCCGACCACCACCATAGCCAGCCTGTGCATAATCATTATGATCACATCCATCTTCAAACATTCACTTATCCTAGCTCAAACCAGTAACTCAGACTTTACCCTGAACCTCTAAATTAAGGTAATGGTCAAGACGCGATTGGAGATGGTGCCTGCACAACATGACCCACAAGTGAACAGAAGGCCAGGGAGCAGCTGCTGTGAGGAGGCAGAAGAAGCCACCGGTACGGGGAGAGGCTGGGAGCATATGTAGATGCTCCCCCTGATGCCTTACAGGTTCTCTGGGTCTCCAATTCCTTTAGGAAGCTGAGGAAATCCCTGTATTTACAAAAACTCCTCCCTTGAGCAAACTTTAGTTAGGTTTCTCTGAGCCCGCCTCTCACCTAGGTCCCATCCCCAGCTTGTCCAATCCAGTTTCAGCAGAATCTAGTTGAGCCTAGTTTTAGTAAGAATTCTCCTAAGCCAATTCAGTAAGAATTCCTCACCTCAAAATCCTTTCAAATTTCTCTTTTTTCTCCCTTGTTATCTAATCAAGTTCCTCTAGTATTTTCTCTCTTTTTTTTTTTTTTTTTTTTTTTTTTTTGAGACAGAGTTTCGCTCCTGTTACCCAGGCTGGAGTGCAATGGCGTGATCTTGGCTCACCGCAACCTCCACCTCTTGGGTTCAAGCAATTCTCCCGCCTCAGCCTCCGGAGTAGCTGGGACTACAGGCACGTGCCACCATGCCCAGATAATTTTTTGTATTTTTTTAGTAGAGACGGGGTTTCACCTTGTTGACCAGGATGGCCTCGATCTCTTGACCTCGTGATCCACCCACCTC